TTTTTACTTATTTATTTAGATTTATTATATTTTATTTACTTTTACTAAATTAAAAAGCCTTTATCTTATATAAAGCTATAGAAGTAATATAGGCCTTAGCTACTATAATTATTATATTTAGTAAAGATTTCTTTTATATTTTATTTAAAAATCTTAGGAAATTAATTACTTTAAAGGCTTTTCCCTTTATAATTTTAAAGTATTTTTTAAAGGAAAGCTATAAATTTAAGTATATCCTTAATTACTAAACTAAGTCCTAGGGGGCTATAGTTTTTCCTTTAAAATCTACTCCTTTATTATATATTTAAGTTTTAGTTTTATAAAAGTATATAAATTCAGCTTTATTTAAGTTAAAGAAAACTATATTTTTATTACCTTAGTTTAAGGTATTTTTTAATTTTTACTAAAGCTTTTAAGTAGTTTTTTTAATATTAACTTCTACTATTATAATACTAATATTATTTATATATTTAAAGTAAGTATTAAGGTTATTAAGCTTTAGGCTAAAGGAAAAATAAAGTATAAAAATAATAGGGGAAATAAAAGACCTTTATAAAGCTTTATATTCTAGCTTTATTTTTAAGAAGGTAATCTTATAGCCGTTTTAAATAAAAGCTTTATAATTACTTATAAAAAAGTTAACTTATTTTATAAAAAAAAAGGGCTATTTTTATTCCTTAAGTTTATATATTAAGCAGTTATATATAATAATATTAAATATATTAAAAATATTAAATAAAAAGAGGGAGATAATAAAACCTTAGGTTAAGGTAATTTTAGTATTATATAGTAGGTAAGTAACTAACTTTATTATAAACCTTTTTAAAAAAGCTTTAAAATATTATTTTAATAATATTTTATATTTTATTATTAAAAAAAAGATTTTTTTAGCTAGGAGTTTTTTAAGGCTTTTACTTATATAAAAAAGTAAAAAAATAAGTTTATAACTTTTATATATAATATATACCTTCTCTAGCTTCCTAGGTTTAAGGATAATAATAATTTTTATACTTTAGAAAAAAAATAAGTAGTATTTTATTATTAAATATCTATAGATAAGGTTAATTATATATTTACTAATAGTAAGCTAAGTAAGCTATAAAAGGGTAACTAATATACTATTTACGCTAGGTATAATATTTTCTAACTTTATTATAGCTTTTTTAACCTTTAATTTTAATATTATTTAGTTTTAGTAAATATTTTTATTAATAAAAAGTCCTTTTTTTATAAGTTTAAAATATTTTTTTTTATTATCTTACGCTTAAGAAGCTTATTTTTAAGGAAAGTTACTTTTTTTATAAGGTTTAAAATACTTTTATTTTTATTTATTAAGGAGGGTAGTTAAAAGCAGTCTATTACTTTATATTACTTAGCTATTAATTAAATATTTTTAGTAATACTAGCTTTTACTATAATTTTATTTTAGTAAGCTTATTTATTATAATATATAATATTTTTAAGGGTTTTATAAGCTTTTTTATAAATAAAGGAGTTATTTACTACTTTTTTATAGGCCTTATAAGCTGCTTTATATTTCTTTAACTACTATAGTATACTATAGCTATTTTAGTACTTAGTTTTACTAACTACCTTTATAATTTATTTAAAGAGATTTTATAAGGCCTTAGTATACTTATTTAGGTTAGTTTTTAATAATATAGTTAAATTAACTATAAGGAGGGTTTAAGTAAAAAAGTATATAAGTTAGCTAAAGTTTTCCTAATATTTTATTAAAATATATTTTTTCCTTACCCCTAGGGTTATTTTTAAAAACTTAAGTAAGTTTATAATTACTATATAATAATTTAATTTTATATTAAAGGAATATTTAACTTTAGTTAATATAAAGTAGTTTATAAAAACTAAGTTTATATATTTTCCTAAGTATTAAGTAAGTATATTTATTAAAGCTAGGAGGAAATTATATTTTTCTACTTATTTTATAATTTTATTACCTACTAAATCTATACTTCTACCTAGGTTTTAAAGTTAATATAAAATATTAAAGTTACCTATAATAATTAAGTAAGGGAAGGGAGGATTTTATTTAATAAAGGTTTTTATAGTTAAGTTTACTAAAGCCTTTTAATAAATATTAATAATAATATAATTATATACTTTTATTTAGTATATATATTTATCCTTTAGGCCTAGGGGAAAAAGTTATTTATTAAAGAGGTTTAAAAAGATTTTAATAAATATAAAAACTAAAGGTTTAGTATTTTTTTAATTATTTAAGGGGTTATATACTTAATATTTAAGATAATTTTTAATTTACCTTTTATTTAATACCTTATTTTATTAAGTATAAGGTTCCTAAATTAGTATAATATTATAGCTACTTTTTTATATTAATAATAAAGTAATATCTTAATATAAACTACTTTTCCTAACGTTAATTTAAAAGATTTTAAAGTTAATATTTCTTTAGTAGTTATAATAGGGCCTATTATTTATAAGCTTATATTAAAAGGTTTATTAATTCTAAAGGAAGTATTAAGTATATTTTTATTTTCTTTAGCCTTTACATCCTCCTTTTTATTATTTAAGCTAGTTATATAAATTATTAACTTAGTAGAGGAAGCTCCTTTATAAAAATCCTCTTTATTTAAGTTAACTTTAACTATAACTTTTTTAACTAGGGCTTAAGGGGGAAAAGGTAGTATTAAGCTAAATATTAGTAAATATAAGCGGGGGCTTATTTAAGTCCTTAGGTTAATTATTTTTTTAATATTAAAGGCTAAGGTAGGGGTAGGTTTAGGTTTAAGTAGGTTAGCTTTATTATACTTTTACTAACCTAACTTTTAAATAGCCTAAAGTTAGGCTTTAGTTATTTATACTTTTTTTTTATTTTTAATAATTAATTTAGTAAAGTACTTTAAAAAGTCTACTATATAAAAGTTATTATAATTAATATACTAAAGGGGGGATAAGTAGTTTACTATAATATTATTATATTTATATAATAGGTTACTATATTTAAGGTACTTCTTAGTCCTAGTATAATTCTAAGGGTTATAAAAACTAAGGTATTATTAACATTAGGTAACCTAAGGTAATTAAACCTAAACTTTAGCTAGGTAAAAAATATTAAAAAGTCTAAAGCTAGGTTTAATATTTTCTTTAAAGGAAATAAAGTAATTATATATATTAAGGAATTCCCTAAAGGGAGCCTTATAGTAGGCTATTAATAGGCTTTTAGCCCTAGCCTTAATATATACCTCCTTAGGGATTAATATATTTATAATATAGGTTTTACTTATATTAGTATAAGTTTTTAGTATATTATATATAAAAAAAACCTTTTATATATATACTTCTTTAATTTTTAAGTTATTACTTTCTACAGCTGGCTTAAGGGTAATAATTTTATTTTTAGTATTTTAATCTTTTACTTAAAGGGTAAAGCTTAACTAGACTTTTTAAAAGTAAGTAATATCTTTAACGTTAAGTTTTATAAAGCTAATTAATTTTTATTTAGTACTAATAACTATTATTTTTCTTTAGTTATAGTCTAGCGGAACTTAAATAAAAATATAATTATTAGGCTTTTAATTACCTAATATAATTTTATTTTTATTTTATTTTCTATTAGCAGAGGCCAGCCCTTTATTACTAAAAGTAAGATTCTTTTAAATATTATTATCCTTTTACAGTATTTTATTATAAATAATATTCTATAATATAACCTATACCTATATAACCTTAGGGTCCTTTTAGCTTACTTTTCTAATAGCTATAAAAGCTTCTATTATAGTAAAGTACTTAAAGCTATTTAATTTATCTCCCTTACTATAGTATATATTAACTAACGCTATTTTAATTAATTAAGCAGCTTTTTCCTTACTACTTAATTTCTTAAGGTTTTTAAACCTTCCTTTAGGGTTAATATAAAAAGTAATAAAATTTTTAAATATAATATTTAAGTATAATTAAACCTATTTTACTATTATTAAGGAAAGTTAAAATAAATATTATACTAAGTAGAAGTTAATAACTATAATTATACTTAATACTATATTTTATTTAGCTTATTATTATATATTAATTTTATTAATTTAGCTTATAATTTTATTTTTAATAAAAAATTTCCCTTTTTTACTTAAGTTAATAGCTTCCTTTATATTACTAAAAATAAAGGTAATAAAGCCTTTTAAAGCTATTTATACTATAATTATTATTACTACTATACTTAATTTTACCTTATTAAAGCTAGGTAAAGGTATTTTATTTATACTAAGGGCTTTTTTAAAATATCTTTTCTTCTTAAAGGTAAAAGGGAGGACTATAGCCTTTTTTATTTTTAGGCCTAAGGGGGTTACCTCTTTCTAAGGTTAAAAAACTATCGCAGGTCCAGGGGCAACGGGGTTTATTCTATTTTAATTATCTAAAGGTTTTATAAATATTTCCATCTCTTTAAAGTCCCTAGATAGGACCGTAAATAAAAAAATCATAGTTGTTTTATCGAATAGCTAGTTAAACAGGTGGGAGTTTTTGGTGGTTAGGCACCTAAAAGGTGGGGTACCTGTAGGTGTAGGAGGGAAGCTTGTTAACTGAACTTATGTTGAACTTGGCTAGATTTTACTTCTGTCTGTACAACGGCTTTGCAGGCTGATATATATTTAGAACTGTCCTGTGAGTCGGCGAGAAGACATCAATCGCGCAGTATCGGCCTTTTGATATAGAGGTTTGCTGTCAGATTTCGGCTAGCGGGGATAGTCGGCAGGGCGTGGTCGGGGTGCTTGCACTTCGCCACAGACTCTCCGCTTACTTGGGTCGTCCGCCTCTCGCAACTGCAATGTCCGTCAAGTGACATGGTCTGGCGAGGCCTCTAGCTGTGGCTGTAACGGCATCAGCGGACCGGCGATGGGACAGTGAGACGTGCCTCGGCACATACTTTGCTTTCTTATGTCGATAAGACCGAGCCAAGAGGGAAGCACTCAGGGGTGTGCTGTGAAGTTTGAACTGCGACACATTATCAGCTTACAGTCTCCAAAATGGGCAGCCTCGAAAAGAAAGAGTACACCTACGCCAGCCTCGAGGGAGACCAAACCCTGCCGGCAGATGTCTACCATGCGTCTTCTTCGAGCGGCAAGCCAGGCGATGTCAAGCCAAATGGTATGCACATTCAAGCCGCCCACTTCAGGGTAGTTGACAACTTGCTGACAGCTCTCTTCTAGCCATTATCTTCTACGGAGGACGGTTTATGATAGGCACCGAGGACATCGTAAGGTCGTGACACCCGTTTTACCCACGGCCAGCTAATTTACTTCTAGACAAGTTATATCACATTTTACCGTTAGCCAACTTTAACAGTAGCGGCTAGTTTCTTATCTAAAAGCAATAAGCTTGTTAGAAATCAGCCGATATAGCCTGACCTTAGCAAAATGCATTTCTATTCCTTGGCAACTATTCTATTTACAGGTATCCTGGCAGCCCCGGCTGGTGTAATATATTAACAACAGGAGACGTAGGTTCTTATGTAAATCAAGTTCTTATACTATAATTTATACTGATAATCTTTTCTACAGTAGGAATAGCAAGGGCCTTATGACATTAGGTTGGCTGACTGATTTGCTATTAGGCGAGTTGCATCACGATTTTATCCTAGCGAATGTAACTGACCCCAGCGGCTATTTGATCGAGGAGGGAGCAGTGGTTCAGAACCGGGTCGTTGTGACTCTAGAGTCTAAGCGCACCAATTGCAAGCGGCCAGACGATCGTATTCATTCAATAAGCGGCTAGGTGGCTGGACGATTAAGGATAGCTTGATGTCTCCGAAACCATTAATGGCGACATCCAATAGAAAGTGTAAATGGAAGAGCATGGAGAACCTTGTTCTTATCGTTTCATAAAAGTCCGATTGATATAAAGGGACAATCCCTCCCTCTTACTGCGATAGTCTACGCTTAACTTCTCTGTCTGTGGGCTAGTTTCCCAGCGACTCGCCAAGTTATATGTCAGGATGCTCTCTTGCGGAAAACTAGCTCTGATCTTCCTTGCCGCCAGTGTGCAGGAGGCTGTGGCTTCTCTCTCATCGGGCTGTGGTAAAGCTGTAGGCACTAGCAGTGGCACTAAATCCATGACAGTGAACGGCAAGACGCGGCAGTACATCCTGCAGCTTCCGGCCAACTACAATGCCAGCAGCGGTTACAAGCTCATTTTTGGGTATCACTGGCGTGATGGTACCATGAATAATGTTGCCCCTGGCTACTATGGCCTACGGGATTTAGCACGAGAGACGGCTATCTTCGTTGCGCCACAGGGCCTGAATAACGGTTGGGCGAATAGCGGAGGAGAGGACCTCACATTTACCGACCAGATGGTGGATTATATCACTTCCAACGCCTGTGTCGACAAAGACCAGATATTCTCCACGGGGTGGAGTTATGGCGGCGCTATGACCTTCGAGCTGGCTTGCTCCCGTCCAAGTATGACAGCCAAACGTGAATGTGATCTCTACAAGCTCAACTAACGTGTTATCCTAGATGTCTTCAAGGCGGTAGCCGTTATTGCCGGGGCTCAGCTCAGCGGATGCGACGGCGGAACCACGCCAATCCCGTACCTCGGCATCCACGGCGTGGTCGACAGCGTTCTCCCCATCAATCTTGGCCGAGGTCTACGCGACAAGTTCCTCCAGCTCAACGGCTGCACTTCTAAGAACGCTCCTGAGCCGGCCGGCGGCTCTGGCACGCACATCAAGACAACGTTCGACTGCAGACCCGGCTACCCGGTCTGGTGGATTGCTCATTCCGGTGATCACGTCCCAGACCCCAAGGACGCCGGCCGGAGTCAATCGTGGGCACCCGGAGAAACTTGGAGTTTCTTCACCCAGCCGGGCTTGAAAGGGCAGAGCGGTGGCAGCAGTAGCAGTGTAACAACGACGTCTAAGATATATTTTACAACTTCCTCCACCACTCCAACAACAACAGCAGGTAGTGATAGCTGCGCGGCCAGATACAGCCAATGTGGAGGTGTTGGATGGTCGGGGCCAACATGCTGCCAATTGGGAGCCACATGCAGGTACTCCAATGATTGGTATTCCCAATGCCTTTAAAGCATTATATATTGCACTTTGAAGGTTCAAGATATATAAAATATTATTATGAGAGCCTCTTACCGGTAGTCGTCGCCTTGTTACTAAATTAGCTAAGAAAACCCGCGACACCCATTTCGAACTTTACGGTATATTATATAAACTCTTATATTTATTAAGCTATATACTGTTTTGCATTTGTATAGAGGTCATAATAAAGCTAGCCTTTTCTTATTATATTTCAAGCAATTTAAAAAATACCGGTAAATCCTACATGACTTATTGTACTATAAGCGAATAATCTATTTATTCTAAGTTGAGTTAAATCTATTAATACTACTGTACCTATTATTAATGAAAATAAAGAACTTANTAATAATATAAATGTTCAGCTCATTTCGGTAGAGCTGTTGTTGGTGGGCCGATTTGTTGTATCGGTCGAGTGTGGGGTGTGGGATTTTGCGGCACAGTGACCTTTTAACGCGCCTGCTTCAACCGATGGCCACTCATGTTGATGGCGCTCATTGCATGGAAACTGGGGAACATGACATGCGAGACTCGGGGCGCTGGATCAACTTCGCCCAAGGGTGGTTACTGGGCTGCCGACGTTCGCGGCAGGCAGCTGGACGACAAGTCAGTTTTGTGTATTGGCAGCTCAACTCCTTCTGTTCTGTATCAGCAATGCGTGTTTCATGTCGAGATATCGAAGGCATCGTACGTAGATGTAGTTGCACATGGCGATGAGATGCAGTAGGTGTTAGGTCGTCGACGTGCAGAGTGTAAGGATCTCTCAGATGGATCGTGTACAATTAGACACAAGAGGGATGTGACGTAGTCGTGGACGTGAAGACAAGTCGTGATATCTGCCGCTGAGGCAACGTAGTCGAACACAGACTTGAGAGGTGAGGCCGTATTTAACAATGAGGTGCTTCTAGCTTGCTGGCCAAGAGAAGCGGCTCTTGCCCACTCTTTCAGTCTCTGGACAAAAGGGACCCTCTTGCAGCTAGACCAAGGTTGTTTATGTGGTGGCCTGGAACGAGTCTTCGCAGCGCGTATGTAGACGCGGAAGAGCTTCCTCTCGGACCAGTAGTCGACAGCCCATTGCCTCTGTCTCTGCATGTCATGTTGGGTTGACATGTCATGCGAGTGCCAAACTCTGGCGTATAGGGACGTGGAGATAGATGACGTTGCTGCGGTCGATATTTCCCTAGAGCCTCGTACAGGGCAGACTTAGAAACGTTTTGGGTGACTCTGATCAAAGCAGCCCCAGCTCGTTCTCAAGCCTCTGCTTGCCTTTCTCATCGTCTGAGATCATCATGGTACCATCCCTCCCTCTTGGATGCACACACTGCGGCATAGTCACAGTTAAATCTTACTTTGGAATGCAATTCACTGCAGCCAATCTAGACCGCTGCGCGTTTCATCGCCGAATCAAATTATTTTTTCTTGTTCATTCTAGTCTAACCTTGAGACGGAGACAAGAATCCTCTTAGGAAGCCAAACCTTCATGCAAGTTTACCGGCCATCAAGAATCTGACGTACGATTAGATAAACGGAAGTAGGTGAAGAGAAAAGGGTGCCATGGGCAGCAACCTGAGGTTCTTGATAAAGCCCTTACAGCATGATAGCTCTGAATTATGTTAGTGGGTTTGATGTCGATGATAGTGAAGCCTCTGTAGCATTGGTTCCATGTACCTTTATTGTGCTGTGATCTTGAGCCGCAATCCTATACTACTAGTCATTGAGCCGAAGTATTATCCACCGCTACTTGTTTTAAAGCGGTGGAATTAGTGGCAAACTTTGATACCCCGCCGGCCTCGGGGAAGCAAAGTTTATTGCCTATTAAGTGTAATAGAAACTTAATAACTATAGCCCTAGGGTTAGTACTTGACTGCGATATGTTCTAGTCGGAATATTGAGGACAAGAGATGTATAAGGATGAAGCTGCATTGCTGCTGTAGTTTTAATAAATCAAAACTGTAAGCAATTTTTATATTTTATCTCCGAACTAGCACAGACTGTACACCTTGCAGGAGATTCGCGTTGAATACGAGCGGCGGAATGACTAGTTCGATCCGAATTCCTATTCCAGCTGCGGGGTCGTTAAAATGATATCTAACTGCAGCTCCACCCCTTGTTCACATGCGGTTTTGTGCAAGATGTGACCCTCTTATAGTTGCATGTTTGGCTGAAATCAGATTATAGTTGATGCATTTCTGCGTCAAAATCTACAGTATATGCTCTTTAAGTTCACTAATTATTGCTAAGCAATGTTGCAAATTTATTTCAGAGGAAGGTCGCGCGAGTGTTACAAGTCTGCATTGCGATTGAACCCTTACAACTGCATTGGCCACAATACGCCACAATATTAGCTGATGTGGAAAGACCTTCGATGCCGTTAATTCGGACACTTACTTCGGCCATTACTGTATACGGAAGTCAGATTATTGCGGCACACCAAGAAGCTCACTACCTATTAGACGCCAAATTCGGCGCATGTAGTAGCTCTATACGAAATGCGAGCTTCGGAATTAGGAGAACGAGTGCCTTGAATAAGGTCTCTCATTGGAATGTTTATGATCATGAGTCGTCTGGTGCTAGTGTGCTTGAAAAAACTTACCGGGCAATGCGGGGTACCGCGGATTTCAGCTTCTGCGAGTGAAACGCCAATGACGTCTACACAAACCGAATTTCGTACATTCACGTAGCTATCTTTGATTTGTTTGTTTGTTTTGTGATTAAACGTCCACTAAGTATCTAGATACATTAATCCGCGATGGGCAATAGGACGGTAGGAGCCGCAAGCTAGTCCTTCGTTCGCTATATTTAGGAATTACAAAGGAGGGGATTGTTCTAAATCAATCTTGGGTTGTCGTAGGTGGTCCGTAAGGGTCCGCCTCTTCGACGAATTTTTGGAATCTTTTGTGGCCGTCCCTTCTGAGAAGAAAGTAGTGCCTACTGGCATTTCTGGGAGGAGGTGGGCCGTGAGTCTGCACTTTGCTAGGTGTCCGGGTCTCTTGTTTCTCCGCACTTGCATTTGATTTCCGTTTCGTGGTTGAACCTGTCGTGGTAGCTTTGGAAGTCCCCATGGCCGGACCCTTCCGCGTACAGGTGATGTAGGAGGCCTCTGTTGAGGCTGAGTTCGTCCGGGCACGTTGTGTGTCCTTAAACGCCATCTCTTGTAGCCCTCGGGCATGGAGTTGTACCAGTGCCTCTCCCAGAGGTTCTTTCCGATCTATTTGGCCCATCTGTTGATATGTGTTATGGTGCTGAGGTGTGTTTTGTGTGCCGTCAGTCTGGTTCCATCCCTCTGCTTCGTTGCCTGGTACATCTTTGTGTCCGGGGACCCACGCTACTGTGATCCTGATGGGGTATGCTGCTTTGGCTCCCTTCTGGAAAGCAATGTATTCTTCTTGGGAGGATTCCGGTGGGGTTCCTAATAGGCCGTCGACCACTGCTGAGTGGTCAAGGAAGAAGTATGCTTCTCGTACTGAGGGGCTGTCCCGGATGATGCGTAAGGCCAATTTCATTGCTTGGGCAGCGCCTCTCGCTTCCGCGTCGTAGACTTCCAGCATAGATAGGGGTATCTTCATATGCGCTTTCTCCGAGATATAGCTCGCATTAGTGGAGGGGTTTAGTGAAGATCCGCTGTAAGTAAGACATATAA